TCTGAATAGGAATGTTTCAGTCCATCAAGTCGCATACATTCCTGTTCAGTGCTGCAGCTGGACCTCGTCAGTGTGACGGTTGCAGCAAAAATAACATGCAATGTATCAAACGCATAAAAAGGAAAGTTAAAACAACGTAGAAAGGTTAAAGCAAAGGTTAAAAGTGCATGTTATAAAACAATACCTTGTTTCATATCTCACATTCATTTATCTCATATTTATCTTATTTTTATACTTCCGTTGTTATTTTTTACATCTGCTTCATTGTAATTTCAATCAATTTCTGGCCTAATGATGTAACGGTGGAGCAAACCTGAATGTATCGATATAAGTTTGGAATAAGCTGATCTTCGTCGTGTGTCATGCCACTTCGGAAGTGCGTGATACCGCCCTGATCTGTCTGCTTCATCCAGCGTAAATCGGATTGTGGAATTAACACGTGGCCCATGGAAAGCATACCCAAGCCACCGATTTCCTTCGGCGTATAGAACACCACCGGTGGGAAACGTGCTGGCATTTTCGAATTCAGACCAATTTTGATACTGCAAATATCGAAATTACACTCCGCAGTTCCTCCAATTCATCGAGCTTTAGAATTCAGGTTTTTTTATTTTTCTATTTTTGAAATTTAAAGAACAGACAAACACCACAAAATAAAAATAGAAAATAAAATAAAAAACAAAATAAAAATAAAAAAAAAACAAAATGAAAACAAAAAACAAAAAGTCCATGGTAACAAGAAAAATAAAAATTCACGGTTTAAATTTCAGAAATTTGAAATCTCTCAGCAAAAAAAAAACAAATTCAACGATTCCCTATCGATGCACGTAAAAAAGAGGTCGCCAGGCAGTGAAGACGAAGGAAACTATGACTTGCTAAATATTACATCCATTTTTAACAAGCACTTAAATTTTGCTTAAAATGACAACCGTTTTTAAGAAATAATACTTCCACAGCACCCAACCCCCAGATCAAGAAAAATATCACACCAATTTTTCTTTCTAAGAGGAAACGAATAGCAACGCGCACCAGACTATCCGGCGCGATTATGCGTTTTGTGCAATTCAGCCCATCGAACGATTGCCCATTAATGTTTTTCACTGATTTGTACTTTTGTCTATGCAAATATAGTTCAGACATTGGAAAACAGTTAAAAATTTCACACACCTGCGCATGAAAGCTGAATTCGAAACCATGAGGGGTGAATATCTTTCTGTGATCCCCAAGTTAATAGTTTACCCGCCAAAATTTTCATGAGGCAGTAGGTGATACTCAAGAGCGCGGAAAGGCTGAATTTGAATAGGCAGGTCGAGCATGGGCAGGGGTCATTGCCCTAAAATTTCAGCTTCCTAGACCCCGTGGTTCCCGAGACAATAATTTATCCGTAACAACTTTCACTAGCCCAAAGGTGATACCCGAGAGTGCGGGAACGCTGAATTTGAATGGGCAAGGCTGAGCGTGGGCAGAGGGCCTGATAGCATTGTGGGCCTGAAAATGCATACCGTGTCTGTATTTTGTTTTCACATTTCACCAACAAATCCAAGAGTTCCTGTGTATTCACAACTGCTTCTCTAAAGTAAGTCATCAGTCCGATCAACGCTGTATTCCATTTGTTCACAATCTGCAAACAGCAGAGACTTACAATCTTGATAAAAATTATTATTTATCTGGCAAAATCTGGAAGAAAATTACCTGATCCAATTAAGCCAAGATAAAATTACCGTCATCGCCGGCGAAAAAAAAATAAATGGCAATGCTCACCAGGCTAGCCGGTGCGATCATGCGTTTTGTGCAATTCATCCCATCGA